TTAAAGCCCTGTCCTGAAGGACCGGCATCCCAGGTTCTAGCCCGGGTTGCTCCTCTTTCGATCCAGCTCTCTGCTATGACCTAGGAAAACAGCAGAAGATGGTCCAAGTCTTGGGCCCCTGAACCCACGTGGGAGACCTCAAAGAAGCTCCTGACTTCAGAATGGCTCAACTCCAGCTGTTGCAGCCATTTGAGGAGTGAACCAATGATGGAAGACCTCTCTTTCTCCGTGTCTCCACCTCTCTCTTTAACTCTGTCTTCCAGATAAATAAAAATAAATCTTTAAAAAATTTTTTAAAACAATCCAAATGAAGACAAGAAAGGAGAGACAAGAAGAGAACACAGGCAAGTTGGGACCAAAAAAAAAAAGGACTGATGGCATTTACGGAGTTGACTATATTAACACATACATTAAACTCAGTCAATGAACAGTAGATTTTTTTAAAAATTAAGATTTATAACTGGATTGAAAATCCACACAAAACTCATTTATATGCTGTTTACAAGAGACACAGTTTAGGGGCTGGCGTTGTGGTAGTGGGCAAAGCTGCCACCTGCAACTCTGGCTTCCCAAATGGGTGTCAGTGCATGTCCTGGCTGCTCTGCTTCCGATCCATCTCCCTGCTAATGGCCTGGGGGAAGCCCTGGAAGATGGCCCAAGTACTTGGGCCTCTGCACCCACATAGGAGACCTGAATGGAGTTTCTGATTCCTGGTTTCAGCTTGGCCTAGCCCTGCTGTGGCCATTTGGGGAGTGAATCAACGGATGAAAGACCTCTCTCTCTGTAACTCTGACTTTCAAATAAATAAATAAATGTAAAAAAGAGAGAGAGAGAGTTTAAATGTAAGAACACAGAAAAGCAGAAAGTAAAAGGACAGAGATATAACAGGCAAACTAATCAGAAGAGCTGTTGCAGCCATACAAACACAACAAAGATGAATTTTTTAGAGATAAACAGAGGTTATTCTATGATATTAATGTTTCAATCCATTAGAAAGACATAATTCTAGATTCATGTGTACTAAATCACAGTCTGAAAAACATGTAAAACAAAAATCGACAGAACTAAAAAAGACAAATAGACAAACAGTTGTAACGTGAATTCTTTCTACATGTTTAGCTATTTATCTGAAAGGCAGAGAGAAACAGCAACAGACGAAGAGTTCTCCCATCCACTGGTTTACTCCCCAAATGTCCACAGGTTTAGGCCAGGTCAAAGCCAGGACCAGAAACTCAATCCAGGTCTCCCAGGTGTGGCAGGGACCCACATACTTGAGCCACCTGCTGCCTCTCAGAGTATGCATTAGCAGAAGGCTGGAATCAAGAGTGGAGCCCGGGGGACCAGCACTGTGGTGCAGTGGATTAAGCCACTGTCTGCAGCACCAGCATCCTATATGGGTGCCGGTTCGAGTCCTGGCTGCTCCACTTCTGATCCAGCTCCCTGCTAATGCACCTCGGAAAGCAGTGGAGGATGGTCCGAGTCCTTGAGCCCCTGCACCTATGTGGGAGACCTGGATGAGGCTCCTAGTTTCTAGCTTCGGCCTACTCAGTCCCGGCCACTGTGCCATTTGGGGAGCAAACCAGCGAATGGAAGATCCTTGTCTCTGTCTCTGTCTTTCTCTCTTTGCGTAGCTCTGCCTTTCAAATAAATAAAATAAATCTTGAAAGAAAAAAAAGTGCAGCTGGGACTCGAATCTGGTACTCCAATATGGGATGGGAACATCCCAAGCAGGGCCTTTTTTTTTTTTTTTAAGATTTACTTTATTTACATGAAAGGTGGAGTTGCAGAGAGAGGGAGAAACAGATGAAGAGTTCCATCCACTGGCTCATTCCCCAGCTGGCCACAAAGGTGGGGGGCTGGGCAAGACCGAAGCCAGGAGCTTCTTGCAGGTCCCCCATGTGGGTGCTGGGGCCCAAGGACTTGGGCCACCTTCTGCTGCTTTCTCAGGCACATTAGCAGGGAGCGGGATTGGAAGTGGAGCAGCCGGGACTAGAACCAGCACCCACATGGGATGGCAATATTGCAGGTGGCAGCTTTACCCACTGTGCCACAGCGCTGGCCTCAGGCAAGCAGTGACTTAAGTGCCACTCAAAATACTCACCCCAGTGTGAAATTGTAAATGCATCTAAATAATTATTTTCATATACCACCTTTGGGTGATTACACTTTCTGTGAAACAATTCAATAATATCAATTAAAAGGTTTAAGAGTTCTTCACATCCGCAGTTCTTCACACCAATTCAGTAAGTCCATCCCCAAGATATTCAGGATGACATTTTTACAATTAAAAATTAGAAATAATCCAAAAGTTAAACAACCAGAAAACGTTAAATAAATTATGGCACATATGAATGCTATGAAGCCATTTTAAAAATCGTGGTCTTGAAGCCCATCTAATAACTCAGGAATATGTTCACAGTATAAAGTAAGAGAAAAAAAGCAGAATATAAAAACACATATTTAGCGAGGGTTTCATTCTGCAAAACAAAAAACCAAACAGATACCGTGTATATCAAAAATTATCCTAAAAGGACTCTGCGCAGTGGCCCGGGAGTGCAGTGGAGGATGGCCCAGGTCCTTGGGCCCTGCACCTGCATGGGAGACCAGGAGGAAGCACCTGGCTCCTGGCTTCAGATCAGCGCAGCGCGCCAGCCATAGCACACCAGCTGTAGCGGCCATTTGGGGAGTGAACCAACAGAAGGAAGACCTTTCTCTCTGTCTCTCTCTTTCACTGTCTAAACTCTGCCTGTCAAATAAAATAAAATAAAATAAAAATTACCCTAACAGGAGATACAGGTAGAGGATCAACGGCCCCAAATCCCTGGGACTGGATATCCGCATGCACAAAGTCAGATGTCTTGGAATGATGGTCCCAAGGTGAAGCACAACATTCACTGAAGCTTCGTAATCCACATCACCACGTAGACTGAAGGCGTTTTACACAGTACTTAGCACGCCTGCATTTCCACGGCAAGACTCTCCTGCTCACAGTGCCATGTTAATGCTCAAAAACTCGTGGATTCTGGAGCATTTCAGATGCTTATTTCTACAAACAAGGGATGATGGGGCCGGCACTGTGGCACAGCAAGTAAAGCCACCACCTGTAGTGCTGGCATCCCTTATGGGTGCCGGTTCGAGTCCTGGCTGTTCCACTTCTAATCCAGCTCTGCTGTGGCCTAGGAAAGCAGTGGAAGATGGCCCAAGTCCTTGGGCCCCTGAACTCACGTGAGAGACCCAGAAGAAGCTGCTGGCTCCTGGCTTCAGATCGGCGCAGCTCCAGCCGTTATGGCCAATCAGGGAGTGAACCAGTGGATAGAAGACCTCTCTCTCTCTCTCTCTCTGCCTCTTCTTCTCTCTCTGTGTAACTCAGACTTTCAAATAAATAAATAAATCTTAAAAAAAAAGGGGGATGTTACACTTGTCTAACATACTAAAAGACTGAAAGGTAGTTAGCTCTGAATACGGTAAATTTTATTTCCTTTATGGTGTTTTTTCTTCATATTTGTATTTTCTTTGTTTAATAGAATCAGCATGAACAACTTTTATAATTTTTTATTTTATTTTTATTTATTTATTTTTTATTTATTTAATTTTTTTTGACAGGCAGAGTGGACAGTAAGAGAGAGAGACAAGAGAGAAAGGTCTTCCTTTGCCGTTGGTTCACCCTCCAATGGCCACCGCGGCCGGTGCGCTGCGGCGGCGCACCGCGCTGATCCGAAGCCAGGAGCCAGGAGCCAGGTGCTTTTCCTGGTCTCCCATGGGGTGCAGGGCCCAAGCACCTGGGCCATCCTCCACTGCACTCCCTGGCCACAGCAGAGAGTTGGCCTGGAAGAGGGGCAACCGGGACAGAATCCGGCGCCCCGACCGGGACCAGAACCCGGTGTGCCGGCGCCACTAGGCGGAGGATTAGCCTAGTGAGCCGCGGCGCCGGCCCTATAATTTTTAAAGTGATCTAAAAATCTTTTTTTTTTTTTTTTGACAGGCAGAGTGGACAGTGAGAGAGAGAGAGAGACAGAGAGAAAGGTCTTCCTTCCATTGGTTCACCCCCCAAATGGCCGCTATGGCCGGCACGCTGCGCTGATCCAAAGCCAGGAGCCAAGTGCTTCCTCCTGGTCTCCCATGCTGGTGCAGGGCCCAAGCACTTGGGCCATCCTCCATTGCCTTCCTGGGCCACAGCAGAGAGCTGGCCTGGAAGAGGAGCAACGGGGACAGAATCCAGCGCCCCGACCAGGACTAGAACCCGGTGTGCCGGCGCCGCAGGCAGAGGATTAGCCTAGTAAGCCGTGGTGCCAGCCTAAAAATCATTTATTATAATCAAAAGTATTGCCATAAAACCATTCTGAAAAGTGTGTATTTATTTCTACAAGTCAGAACAAGGCATCTGAGTCTATTTCCTAAGAGATAATAAACAGGATAATTTACACATGAACTAGCTTTTTTTAAAACAAGATTTATTAATTTTACTTGAAAGGCAGTTATAGTGATAGAGACAGAGACAGAGATCTTCCACCCACTGGTTCACCTCCCAGACAACCACAACAGTAAGGCCAAATCCATGAGCCTGGAACTCCATCTGAATCCCCAACGTGGGTGAAAGAGGCCCACGTACTTCGGCCATCTTCCACTGCTTTCCCAGGCACACCTACAGGGAGCTGGATTGAAAGTGGAGCAGCCAGGGCATGAAGCAGTGCCCAAATGGGATGTCAGCAGTATAGCAGGTAGCAGCTTACCTGGCAGTGCCACACGCTAGCCCCTGAACTAACCTTAGTGACTGCTGCTTACGGAGAAAAAAAATCTAATATCTTTGAAAAAATTAAGAGGGTTAAGAACATTGATGAGAAAGAAAAATCTTAAAAAAGTAACACTTATATTCCACTTGTTATAGAAATACCAGTAACAGCAATTCGTTCTTAATCATCTTTCACTTTTGTTGGTAGTAACAAGGAAGAAAGAGAAAAACATTCTTGAAAGAGGAAAATGTGAAATGAGAACATAAATACCTTGTGAGCCAAGTGGAAGAGCAGACGGTTTTGGAGTCGGCTTTTTGGAGCTGAAAAACAAACCCAATGTGCTTCTTAGAGAACTCAGCGGTCTGGCACTTCTGTCCTTGAAGGAATGAGTGAGGCTAAGGTGTAACCTGCGGCTACCTCACCCTGATCTGGCTCTGCTGCAATATGCACTGTGGGAGTCAGTCGCTACCTGCAGTAGCAGCAGGCAGACATGTTCTCCAAGTCTGTGCCACCTGCTTCCATGCGGTGACCCCCAGCACAGCGCTCCACACAGAGTCCAACCGTGTGCTCCAGAGCCGACGGAAACGCTCACAGCGGGCAGTTAAGGTCGCACCCCCACATATGAATCTATTCTCACTCAGTTCTCTGTTAATCCCTTTCCCCACCTATACCACCACACAGCCACCCTCTGTAAGTGGGATACAGGCGTTGTGGGCAGTGGCTCCACCGGCTGCACCACGGTGCTGGCCATGAGTGAAGGTTTATAGTGTCAGCTGGTTTTTCCTCAACAAAAAAAGGAATAAAGTCAGGTTTTAAATCTCCAAAATGACTTTCACTATCAGAAGCATATCAGCTATAGAAAGCTCATTTTACCTTTAAATCCAGCTTCTTCAGCTTGCTTATACATCCCGAGAAAGAAGTAGGTGCAGGCTAGGTTCACCCAGACTTCAGGATTGCAGTTTTCTGCTTTTGCTGCATTTTCATATTCCTGAAATACATATTAAGCAGCAAGCTCATTTTTAAAGAAAAAGAACTGATGGGCCTTCTTCAATAATGACACAGGATTTCTTGTAGGACTGGGGAACTTCATACATAGTGAATCCTCATGCTCCTGGAAAGGTTGAACAGAGCTCAAGTTCAAGTCTACCCATGCAGGGCTAACATCCATGAAGTCTGGTATCTAACCCACCCACACCCTGCCTTTTAACCTTGACCTAGGCTATGGGACTAAAGAAAGGAAAAGAAACTGAAATATTTATTTCTGCTAACTTAAAAGGACATAAAAATACCCTCTTAGAAATACACAAACTTAGTGAACTTAGAGTCTGACAGCTGTGATACACGACTAACTTCACTTCATCTAACTGCTCCCTGACTTCACTTGGTTTTATGCTTTAGAAAAAGGTGTTGGCATGGGTTTTCTTCTTGTTTGCCAAGGACGCTTCCCAAGAATCACTCTGCTACCTTTTCCAAACACTCTTTTTTTTTTTTTTTTTTAGTTCATATTTATTTGAGAGGTACAGTTACAGACAGTGAGAGGGACAGACAGAAAGGTCTTCCATCTGCTGGTAGCAGCAGCCAGAGCTGCACCAATCCAAAACCAGGAGCCAGGAGCTTCTGCTATGTCTCCCACGCAGGTGCAGGGGCCCAAGGACTTGGGCCATCTTCTACTGCTTTCCAAGACCATACCAGAGAGCAGGATTGGAAGAGGAGCAGCCGCGACTCGAACAGGTCCCCACGTGGGATGCTGGCACCGCAGGTGGAGGATTAACCTGCTGTGCCACAGCGCCGGCCCCAACACTCTTACTTTCTAATCACTCTTCCCCTGATGCTTTAATTCTTTTTCTTACTACATTCACATTATTCTTTCTTTCCTACGATAGCCTGCACAAATACTGCCAGCCACCATCCTGTCCTTTTCCTTCACCAATTTTGTTCTTCATTTCATCTCGTTACCTGTCCTTGAATGTTTTCATTCTAGTTATGCAGGTTCTTCTAATTCTCTTAGATCATATTTTTGGACTAAGAATGTGTGGGAAATGTTTTAGCAATTTCATTTATGAAGTAAAATTTGCCTGACATAAAGATCTATAATTGTATTTATATCCATAATGCTATAATCACCGTAGATATGGAAAGTTTACAATGATCAAGAAAAACAATCTAAAGTAATATTTGTAAAACTATAAAGATAATATAATCTTCTTAAGTATAAAAAATAACCTGGGGCTGGAGCTGTGGCATAACAGGTAAAGCTACCGCCTGCAGTGCCGGCATCCCATACGGCACCAGTTTGAGTCCCAGCTGCTCCACTTCTGATCCAGCTCTCTGCTGTGGCCTAGGAAAGCAGCAGAAGATGGCCCAAGTCCTTGCGCCCCTTTACCCACACAGCGACCCAGAAGAAGCTCCTGGCTCCTGGTTTTGGATGGACCCAGCTTCAGCCACTGCGGCCATCTGAGGAGTTAACCAGTGGATGGAAGACCTCCCTCCCTCTCTCTCTGTCTCTCTCTCTCTGTAACTCTGTCTTTCAAATAAATACATAAATAAATCTTTTTTTAAAAAATTACCAAGGAAAATATAAGTGAAGTTCTTTTGAAAAAAGATTCATAGAAGCTTTAATCAAAAAGGCTTATTTTTCCTCTTTTGAAGACTTACATAAACATTAAGGCTAGTATGTTGTACAATCCCATTAGAATACATGTAAAAAATTATAGAGTGCATGCAAAAGTAAAAATTGAGATTCATGTACCTATTCTGGAACATCCAAAGACTGCTGAAGAAACGCATTAAGAAAGTCAGTGGCTGCCTCAACAAAGAACTGGGGCTGAGGAAGACAGGGTGGCTCTTCTTCATTTCCTTCTGCATTGTTTGAACTTTACCATGACCATGTATTATTATATCGCAAAGTTTAGTAACATTTTAAACACATAGCATGAGAAAATTTCTTCCCCACTAACCTCCAAAGCTCTCTTGTAGTCACCCAGGTGAAAAGCACAGTATCCAATCCACAAATTAGTATCCTCTTCTTGTTCTCCAACTTGACGTTTGAACTTCGGGGTCAAAGTTCACAGGAAAAAATCATTAAAAGTTTTGAATACAGAACTCTGATATTCAAAGAAAAGACGATGTTAAATTGCTGATGGATGATGGGCAATCTAAGTAAGAAAAACAAGATGGCACACAGTCTGACTGCACCTACTCCTACAGGACTCAGGATAAGCGCCTTTTCATTTATTTATTTTTTGAGAAGCAGGCAGAGAGAGAATTCCCATCTGCTCGTTCACTCCCCAGATGCCCAGGGCTGGATGAGCCCAGAGCCAGGTGCTGAGGATTCAGTCCAGATCTCTCACGTGAGTGGCTGGAACTCATTTCCTGGGCCATCAGCACTGCCTCCCAGAGTCTGCTTTGGCAGGAAGCTTGAAACAGGACCCCGAGATGGAATCAAACTCAGGCACTCCAAAGTGGATCGCTGGTGTCTTAACTGCTAGGCTAAATGAACGTGCTCACAATTACCTTCTAATTATCACAGAAATTTAGTGTTTACATGTACTTTTGCTTTGCTATTTAAAAAATGTTTTACTTACTTATTTTCATTTTATTTGAAAGATAGACACAGCGAGTTCTTCCAACAACTGGTTTACTCTCTAAAAGCTTGCAACAGCCACTGCTGGCCCAGAAGGAAGCCAGGATCTCTGAACTCCATCAGGGTCTCCCATAAGGGTTGCAGGGACCTAAGTACTTGAGCATTAGCAGCAAGCTGGCTCAGAGGCAGAGCGGCACAGGGTGCGGGTGGGGGTTGGGAAGGCTTCGTGGCTCAGCCAGTCAAGCTGCCCTCTGAAACACCGGCATCCCAAATGGGCGCCAGTTCAAGTCCCAGTTGCTCCACTTTCTATCCAGCCCTCTGCTAATGGGCCTGGAAAAACAGCAGAAGATGGCCCAAGAGCTTGGGCCCCTGCACCCATGTGGGAGACCCCAAGTGAACCAGCTGATGGAAAATCCCTCTCTCTCTCTTTCTCCCCCTCTCTCTTTAATTGCCTTTTTTTTTTTTTTTTTTTTTTTTGACAGACAGTAGGAGAGAGAGAGAGAGAGAGAAAGGTCTTCCTTCCATTGGTTCACCCCCTAAATGGCCGCTATGGCCGGAGCTACACTGATCTGAAGCCAGGAGCCAGGTGCTTCCTCCTGGTCTCCCATGCAGGTTCAGGGCCCAAGCACCTGGGCCATCCTCCACTGCTATCCCGGGCCACAGCAGAGAGCTGGACTGGAAGAGGAGCAACCGGGACTAGAACCCAGCGCCCATATGGGATGCTGGTGCCGCAGGCGGAGATTAACCTAGTGAGCCACGGTGCTGGCCCCCTTTAATTGCCTTTCAAATAAATAAACAAATAGAAGCGGAATAGCTGGGAGTTGAACCAGGCATTCTGATATGGGATGTAAATGTCCCAAATGGTGACTTAACTAGTTACAGAAATTCATATTTTCAAATATTTCACACTGATTTTCTGTATTTCTGACACCACACTCCATAAAGTATCTGAGTTGTTCAATGATTCTGGCTGATACATAAGGAACAAAAGAATTATGTGTGAAACGTAAAGCCGAACCGCTGAGTGTCTGAGAAGAGGAGGACCAACGGCAGGCACAGCTGCTAGCAGGGGCGTAACGTAGCGCCCGACTCCGACCCACGCTCTCACCTCCACGCTGCACTGCACTGCATGCAGCCCCACGCTTCCATCCTGGCCAGGTGGCATGCACGTACTTACTACCAGGCTACACCTTCCACCCAGGAGAGGCCATCCCAGCACCCAGCACCCCGCAGAGGCCATCCCAGCACCCATCACTCCACAGAGGCCATCCCAGCACCAATCACCCCGCAGAGGCCATCCCAGCACCCATCACTCCGCAGAGGCCATCCCAGCACCCAGCACCCCGCAGAGGCCATCCCAGCACCCAGTACCCCGCAGAGGCCATCCCAGCACCCAGCACCCCGCAGAGGCCATCCCAGCACCCAGCACCCCGCAGAGGCCATCCCAGCACCCCGCACCCCCACAGCAGGAGAGCCTGCCACACTTTTAGAGTTAAGAGGGTTCAGAAGAGCAGCCTCATGCACGTTCATTACGAACAAAGGTTAGGACTCCTAAGCCAGCGAAACAGGAAGTCCTGTTCTGGAGGAAACGGCTGAGACCTCAGCAGGGACTGGGAATCAGCACCGTGAGGTGAGGTTTCAGTCTGTAAGAGGGAGAAATCCAACAGCAGGCCGGCACACAGTCACAGAACTTCCAGGGCCTTCCTCAGCACAAGATGCAGCTACGCCTGAGACACCGTCCTGTCTGGGACAAGAACCTACACCTGCAGCCACTACCGGAACACAGAAGTCCTCCTGAGACAGCACGTGGCTCAGCAGGTCCCACGCAGCTGAGACGCTCATTTCAGACGCCCGCATCCCACACGGGGTGCCTGGCTGAGTCCTCCCTCCACTTCCAAGTCCAGCTTCCTGCCAATGCGTGTTCTGGGATGCAGGAGGCAATGGCCCTGCCAGCCATATGGGAGGCCCAGATGGAATTCCATGCTCCTGGCTTCAGCCTGGTTCAGCCCTCGCCACTGTGGGTATTTGAAGAATGAACCAGGGTTCGGTGTTGTGGCAAAGCAGGTAAAGCCACCACCTGCAGCACCAGCTGCTCCACTTCCGATCCAGCTCCCTGCTAATGCACCTGGGAAAGCAGAGGATGGCGGTCCAGGTGTTTGGGTCCCTGCACCCATGTGGGAGACCTGAAAGAAGCTCTTGGCTCTTCGGTCTGGCTCAGCTCCAGCCATCGTGGCCATTTGGGAAGTGAATCAGCGGATGGAGGATCTATGTCCCTCTCTCTCTGTAACTCTGCCTTTCGAGTTAAAAAAAAAATGAATGAACCAGAGGATGGAAGGTATCTTTGTCTTTCTCTGGCTTTCAAATAAAATGAAAACAGATAAATTTAAAAAGAAATTCTCCTCTTACAAAACGCTGTGGATTTGAATACAGAGCCTCAGGGCTGGAAAACTCCTGATTCGAGGTCTCCCTGAATTTACTGGGGGTTCTCTGGAGCCATAGGAGAGGTCCTGATACTTCTGCACCCCAACCACAGCAGCTCGTAGGCAGTGACACTTCAATTACTCTCCAAGCATGCGGCCACAGAACAGACCCTCCATGACAACCCAAAGGCAGTCTGGGCTCGCATAATAGGGTCATTGCTCAAAGAAAAGCGAGGCCCAAGAGTGACAAGCACTAGATACAGGCACAGCACTCCGTCCACTGGCTTAGAGAGCAAGAAGGTCTGTCCACGTGAACTCCCCCACTGAGAAGATGAGAGAGCTGACGTCAGAGCCGCTGAACAGGGCTCGATGCTAGAGACCTAGTCAGGAACCTGGAGCCACACACGGAAGCCGAGGACATGAGAGCTAATGCAAACAACCCTGGCTGACAGGCTGGGAGTAGTGCGGCCGGAGCGGTGCTCCGGAGGAATGACTGCGGCCCAAGAAAGTGCTGCCCACTCTCACCCTGTGGACGTCCTGCACCTCCTCACAGCGCCTGCCCCAGGATGCAGCTTCTCCCCGCGCGGCCTCCCTGGGCCATCGACATCAGGAGACTGCGGCTCGCCCCAGCGCAGATTCCTGGGCACCACTGCAGACCCACGGGCAGAATCCCTCAGGCAGGAGCCCAGGAGTACACACCTTGGTCCGTACCTTATGTCATTCTAACGCATACCAAGGTGAGAACTACTGCCAGACAGTGGAAACATTTCCTGCGGATAGATTTTCAGCAATATGGCAGAATCTAAACTTGATTAAAATTCTATAATGCATGGTGAGAATTATTCATAAAGCGGTCAGGGGTTGGGATAAACAATATATGAACTGATCCTGCATTAAATGTCACTCAATGTTTTTAGGTCTGATTCACCTTAAGTTGGATTAGACACAACCAAAAGCAACCCTCAGGAAAGTTATTCTTTAAAGTTCATTTTCTAGCCTCTTTCTAAAGAAGCTTTATCTACCCACCTATGTACCCATCTAAAAGCCAGACTAATAGAGAGAGAGAGAGAGAGAGATTGATTCTCCATGTGCCGGTTCACTCCCCAGATGCCAGCAACAGCCAGGGCTGGGCTGGGCCAGGCCAGGAGCCAGGAGCCAGGAGCCAGGAGCCAGGAGCCAGGAGCCAGGAGCCAGGAGCCCCGTCTGGGCTTCTCACGTGACCGGCTGGGTCATCTGCTGCCTCCAGGCACCAGCAGGAAGCTGGACAGGAACCAGAGGGAGATCTCGTCCCAGGCACGCGAGAGTCGGATGCTGCAGTCGGCGCATCCAGGTAACAGGTATGCAGGTAGACGTGCGGGGATTCCCTGAAGAAGCCGCACAACGACCAGCACTCACTCAGCCAAGCACCCATCGCACGCGGTACTCCCTTCGGGCAGCACTGTGTGGACACTACCTCCAGCAGGGTAATGGCGCCGGTGAAATCTCTCTGTGAGAGGAGCTCGTCCAGTTTGGGACTCTTCCTGCCTTTCTTCTTCCGTCTGTCGGCGTGCGGCGGGTCCCCGCCCACAGCAGGTTTGGCTCTTGAAAGCATCTGCGAGAGGAACCCGAGAAGCTGCAGGGCCACTCGGCAGTGAGCCCGCAGGGCCACTCGGCAGTGAGCCCGCCGGCCCGAGGCCCAGAGCGCCAGGAAAGCGTCGCGAACTCTCCCCAGCACGCATTTCTCGGGGCACCAAGACTCCCGCTCCTCCGACCGGGCGCGAGGGGAGAGGCCCCGCCTGCTTTCAGACGGCCGCTCGGCGGCGACGGACAGGGGCTGGACAGGGCTGGACAGGGCTGGACAGGGCTGCACATGGCCAAGGCTCCGCTGCGGCGGGGCCGGGCAGGCGGGGCGCCTGTGCCGCGGGTCCCAGGCCCACGCGCAGCTCCCTCTCACTACCCGGAGCCACTGACCATCGCGGCGTTGGTCCCAGACGGCCGCTCGGCGGCGACGGACAGGGGCTGGACAGGGCTGGACAGGGCGGGACAGGGCCAAGGCTCTGCTGCGACGGGGCCGGGCAGGCGGGGCGCCTGTGAACGGGTCCCAGGCCCACTCGCAGCTCCATCCCACCACCCGGAGCCACTGACCATCTCGGCGTTGGTCCCAGACGGCCGCTCGGCGGCGACGGACAAGGGCTGGACAGGGGCTGGACAGGGCGGGACAGGGCCAAGGCTCCGCTGCGGCGGGGCCGGGCAGGCGGGGCGCCGGTGCCGCGGGTCCCAGGCCCACGCGCAGCTCCCTCTCACCACCCGGAGCCACTGACCATCGCGGCGTTGGTCCCCGGAGCCCGCTCCTCAGAGAAGCAGCAGAGGCCGCGCCTCAGCGCGTCGCGGCATCCACGCCGCACGCTCGGTCTCCACGGCAACCCCGCGCGGCGCGTCCGTCCGGAGAAGAGCTCCCCGGAGCACCGGCGCCCGGCACTTGGGGTTCCGCGCCCCTGCGCCGCCGGAAGACTGGCGGTTGCTCTCCGGACGGAGGGTTTCGGGCCCCGCGCTGAGGGGAAGCTTGGTTTTCTCTGATGATGGAGTCCACTTTAGGAAAAAACGATTTCGAGGGGTATTGTTTCTCAAACGCACGTCTTCGGGGGAAAGTGATTTGGAAGGACCACTTCCGTCTCGGACCGCGCTGGGCTCGGAGCGAGGGCGTCCCGCAGCCCCGGCCTCTGTGGAACCTTCTGAGGAAACTGCCGCGTCCCGGGGGCTGCCGTGCACCAGAACGCGGCTTCCACGTGTCCGCAGATACGCCTACACGCAGGACGATATTCGTGGGGCCGGCGCTGTGGCGTAGTGGGTAAAGCCGCCGCCTGAGTGCCGGAATCCCACTTGGACGCCGGTTCGAGTCCCAGCTGTTCCACTTCCGATCCGGCTCTGCTGTGGCCCGGGAGTGCAGTGGAGGATGGCCCAAGTGCTTGGGCCCTGCACCCCATGGGAGACCAGGAGGAGGCACCTGGCTCCTGGCTTCAGATCGGCGCGGTGCGCCGGCCACAACGCACCGCTGGAGCGGCCGTTGGGGGGTTGAACCAACGGAAGGAAGACCTTTCTCTCTGCCTCTCTCCCTGTCCACTCTGCCTGTAAAAAAAAAAAAGAAGAAGAAGACCGACCCCGGGAAGACACCTGTCCGGATGCGGAGCAGGCTTAGGGCTGTGAGGCAGGGAATTCAACATGGCGGCGAGAGCCCTTCTGCTCTGCCAGCTCTTGCAGCTGGCCAGGGCCCCGAGGCCGCCTTGCTGAAACGCTGTAATCTGCTCTGTTGGGTTTTGTGACTCAGCTGAAATGATTGGTGATTCCTAAGCAGTTGGGGGTATTGCTTTATTTTTATTCTTTAAAAGATGTATTTATTTATTTTAAAGGCAGAGTTACACAGAGAGAGGAGACGCAGAGAGAGAAAGAGAGGGAGAGAGATCTTCCATCCGCTGGTTCACTCTCCAATTGGCCGCAACTGCCGTAGCTGTGTTATCGGAGAAATTGGCGGGGTTCTTGTCTTCACGCAAGAAAGAATTCAGGTGTGAGACAGAGTAGTGGAAAGTAAAAAGTAGCAAAGTTTGTTAGGGTAGGGACATCCGCAAGAACGGATGGACACCTCCCCAGACAGGACCTGAGAGTGCCCAGTCGCTCGGACTGGGGGGGGGGGGAGGAGCGAGGTTACACGGTTCAGTGGTGAGAGTACACCTGACCAGGCCAGGCAGGCGGCTCAGCAGAGAGGCAGAGGGCTGAGTTCGCTGCCCGGGGGGTGTGGGGGTGGGGGGGATGTTAAGGAGATGGGTCTTTGTCTTCACACATCTCCTGAAACTAAGGATTTTATGGCTGTAAATATTAAGCTCCTATCTGAGTTTTCCCTTGAAGGTATCAGACAGGAGGAAGCCTAGCTGGCTCCATCCTGGGTTCAGAGGAAGGGTGAGCAGGGCCCCCTGGAGAATGGGGATCCGGAGCAGGGTGTTTGAAGTGCAGATACTGGGCTGCATCTGGGAGATTGTGGAAGATTTGTCAGGCAGAAGGGGCGGGGACCTCCACCTGGCAGGTTATCAGGTAGAAGGGGGCAGGGCAGGATGCGAATACCGGGCTGCCCCTGAAACATTATCGGGATGACTTTGAGATGTAGATGCATATGCTGGATATAGATGTCCTCTTTAGGCCTGTCATACACACATAAGCTCATATCTGACTTCCTACTTAACAGCTGCGCCAATCCGAAGCCAGGAGCCAGGAGCTTCTTCCAGGTCTCCCACATGGGTGCAGGGGCCCAAGGACCTGGGCCATCTTCTACTGCTTTCCCAGGCCACCAGCAGAGAGCTGGATTGGAAGTGGAGCAGCTGGAACTTGAACTGGCACCCATATGGGATCCTGACATTGTAGGCAGCACCATCTATGCCACATTACTGGCCCCGGGGATACTGCTTTAATATGTCTACTTCCTGGTAGGAGCTGTTCCAACAGTGATTTTTCTAAGAAGGGCAGAGTAAGACATGGGTGTACTTGAGAAATTGTACAGTTATCACTCTAAGAATCATTCAGTTATTATGGAACACATAGTCATATAGGCACATAAAAGCTGGTTGCAGGGTAAAAGGCAAAGCTGCCATTTGCAACTTCATTGCAGTTGCAATAGAACATATTAGTGTCTGGGAGGTTGTAAAAACAATCCAGATTGTGATAGTGGTGGTATGACTGCAGATTTACTACAAATAATGTAATTGTATGAACATTTACAACAGGTGAATTTTACGATATGTATATACTGGATTTTGTTTGTCTTAAAGAGAATCCACTGGCCCACTGGCCGGGAGTCTGTGTCTCCAGTTCAGCCCCAAGGCACAGTGATGCGGACTCCAAAAAAAATCACACTCCTGTCTTTCCCAGGGCCATGAGTTGCTGAGGGCATGCCAGGACTCAAGAAGTTTCTACATTCCTTGCCTGAGCTGATTTTGCTTAAGGAAAAAGAAAATTTTGTGGATATAGGAAGTTTTTCAGAAGATAAATGTGTGTGCAATGGGGTGGAGAAACAAGACCTGAGAGGAGGGGGCCGGCGCTGTGGCCCAGTAGGTCAATCCTCCACCTGCGGCGCCGGCATCCCATATGGGCGCCAGTTCTAGTCCTGGTTGCTCCTCTTCCGATCCAGCTCTCTGCTGTGGCCTGGGAAAGCAGTGGAGGATGGCCGGGTGCTTAGGCCCCTGCACCGTGTGGGAGACCTGGAAGAAGCTCCTGGCTCCTGGCTTCGGATCGGCGCAGTTCTGGCTGTTGCAGCCATTTGGGGATTCCCCAGAGAGCTGGATCGGAAGTGGAGCATCTGGGACTCAAACCAGAGGCTGTATGGGATGCCGGTGAAATTGGAGATGACCCCCTAAAATTTATACAAAAATGTGGCCCCGTAGAGTTCCCCACATATGCTACCAGAATTCGGGATGCCATACGATATCACTATATGCTTACTAACAAAACTCCAATATTAATAAGCCCAAGAGGGTTCTTGCCTAATATTTAGAGAAGAATTCTAAATACTGGCACAGAAAAACGAGGCAGCATGGTACATTTTAAGCCTTTATTTAGTGAGAAAGATGCACAGAAGAGTGAGAGCTTTATTAAGAGAGAGAGGTGAATCTGGTTCATATCGAGCACCAGGAACCAGCCACGTGGAGGAGCATCTAGGCCAGGAAGCCTAGGGCACGTGGCCCGAAGGCCACATGCTCTGGGAGCACAGGGCTACAGCAAGCCCCCTCCTGGCAAGAAGCCAGAGAAGAAGAGAAGGGGGCCGGGACACACTTCCAATGGGGAGTTAATTAACCTGATTGGTGGGTGGGCACCCAGGTGTGGCAAGGTAGGGGGATGAGGTCACACCGGGGCGTGGTGAAGGTATCAGGTAGGACGTGAGGTCACACGGGGCGTAGCAAAGGCGTGATCTTCCAGCTCACGCACCTAACTGATTTTAACCTGTGTGCCTGCTACTTCTCTGGCACTGCTGGTGGCTGGCTTTCCATGTGATGCCACAGCACCAGCCCCGGGAACTTCGTAGAAGTTGAATCATACGACATGGTTTTGTGTGTGGCTTTTTTCACTTGTCAAATGATTTCAAGGTTTATTCATGTTACAGCATTTCTCACTATGTCGTTCTTTTTTATGGTTGAGTACTATCCCCTCGTATGGACATGCCACATTTTGTTTGTGTTCATATTATTAAAGCACCTAATGTATATTCAGTGCTCAGGGCTCGGTGGTCCTGTCGGCATCCCACACACTGTGCGTGGATGTTCCAGGAACAGCCTCCATCCCATTCTGTCCTGCATAGAACGGAATTCAAGGAAGAAACGCAAACAAGGAAAGGCCACTCCAATGCAGCCTGCTGCTGGCCCTGTGTTTGCCTGCCAGGCCCAGTCCTGCCCTGACTTCATACGCGGCCTCCGATTATCACTCTGCAGCCACGTACGGTCCGCTGACTGGTCTCTGGTTATCACTCATCAGCCACGTATGGTCTGCTGACTGTGGCAATTCTGTTCTCTCTCACCACTTAATCACTTCATTCAGGCCCCTCAAACAATCCTAATACTTAGGGGCTTAAAGCAACCAGCCCTCCTATCTCCCAGTTTCTGCTGGGTGGCTCAGAGTCTTTGAGGCTGTGTGGAGGGTGGGTGCGGTCCTGTTATGTCTTGACAGAGGCTGATGGATTTTCTCCCGTGGCTCACTCACGTGGTTGCGGTCTGTTGGGGGGAGGTCTTGTTTACCTGCCACATGGAACTTTCCACAGGGCTATAGAGTGTCCACACAACATGACAGGTAGCTTCCCTGATTCAAAGACCCCAAACAAGAGCGAGGAGGAAGCCACAGTGCTGCTTCTGAGCTAGCCTTGGCAGCCACGCTGTCATTCCTGAAATGCCCTGTTGATTGCACAGATCAGTCCTCTTCCTTGTGAAAGGACTACACACGGGCGCTACTGGAGGCAAAACTCACCGGGGACCAGCTGGCTAGCACACGGCCACTGTCGCCACGTGCACCCCGTGGCTCACCGCACGTCCTTGCTCTCCAACTAGTGTTACTAGAAGTTCTGCAACCCGAAGTCCTTCATCTCACACCAGCAAAACAAAGTCTGTACATTTATCCTCAAAGAGGGATATGGCCTTTCTCTACTCCAGGGCTCAGCCTTCTGCCTCTACCTACAACTCCATCCCTTCCCAGTTACGTTCCTCCAAGGGAACGAGGGTTCAATCCAGGGAGACGCCCCGTGCCTACTTCTCGCTCTGCCCCCTCTTGTTCGCTTGACCCTTTCCCTAATGCCTCTCTCCACTCCCACGTCTCCCCCAGAACACCTGTCTGCCGTGGACTTTGGCCATTCCACCTGACTCAACCCTCTGACGCTTGTGTACTTACTTTCTATGACCTGGCGTAGCGGGCTCATGTAACCTCTGTGTGTTTTCTTTCCCTTTCCAACTGGTGGCTCCAGTGACTCACAGGGCTGATGTACCCAAAGGCACTCTCTTCACGTAGATCTCCATGAAGGTTTCTCCTGTGCCTAGGCCTCTGAG